GGGCAGTCTACTTCTGTAGAGATACTGCCTCAGAAAACCAAGGAAGGGGGCTATTGAGTCGGAACTGACTCGATGGCAGTGAGTGAGTGAACTCTAGTTAACTCTTGGTTAAAAGAAATTTCTGATGTACTTTTTGACAAGCCATATCAGTATGTGTTGTTCCTGAAAAAAATGTTTCATGTACTATGTATCAAGAAGTATAAAAGAGCACTAAAAGAGCACTAATTGAGGGGACAGGAATAAAATGAATAGAGGAACATTGTTATTTTCTAAATGTTCTTTAAATGGAAATGGCGGCAGCCTGCCATAAAACTCTTGAAAAAACAGCTTGACCTTCTTTTTGCCCTCTCTCCAAAGACGTCAAACAAAAAAAAAAATTATAGAATAAGTCTTTCTAAATTTTAAATGGTTCAGTTATCAGAAGACTCTAAAGAGCAAGTTTTCCACAAATCATCCTTGTGCCATTTGGTCTTGTTTTTTTTTTTTTTTTTTAATAGTTGGTGAGCCAACATGTAATTAATCACTTTTGTTGGCATTGAAGGAAATGAAACTGCTGTGTACCCTTTGGCTTCATTGTTCTTTTTATATGGTATTTATCAGTGTTGCAATGTGTAATATGAGAACCTTTGGTAAATGCTTAATGATAATGAATGCTTAGTGATACTATTGTGGAGAAAACAATGTCAAAGAAGTAGTTTTTATAGTCAGCTTATGTGTATTATTTTGGATGCTGGTATACTATTACAATAAAAAAGAAAACAGTTGCTGTTGAGTTGATTCTGACTCATGGCAGCCCCACGTGTGTCACAGGAGAAATGTGCTCCATAGTGTTGTCAGCAGTTAAGTTTTTAGAAGCACATCACCAAGCATGTCTCCCAGGGTGCCTCTGGGTGGACTTTCAGTTAGCAGCCATGTCTGTTAACCGTTTGCACCACCCAGTGACTCTACTGTTAGGATGTTTGTGTACAATTCCACATCTGAGATACCAGCAACACTACTGTTGCTTAGTCAGCAGTTGTTGTAATGTACTTTCCTTGTCTGTGGACGGGGTTATTCCCTGTATACAAAGTGGTAGTGTCCCCTTGTTGCCAGTTCTCACTGTTACATCCTCCAAAATCTAGTTTGGATAGATTTCTTCCCCACAGCTGCCACCACAATCAGTGAATAGGTCTGTCTCACCTCAGGAAGAAAGAATGGGAACAGGAGCCTAACCAGTCTCACTCATTTGAGCTCTGTTCCATTAGTGCAGTGAACAATATTCCCTATGGAAATTGGACACCATTTAAAAACCTAAAACATCAGTTGTTCTATTTACCAATCACTGTTATTATTAAAAGTTCATTTAGAGTAAGATTTTAATATAGGCAAAAACCTGGATATGAACAGTTACCTTCCTTTAACTTTTATTTATTTGAAATCACTTTTCCAGCCTTGAGCGGAGTAGAATGTTCCTCTAGAAGCAGTGATTCCAGTAGGCTCTAAGTCTCTGTGGAGCTTGTACATCCGTCTCCACCTGACTCTGCCTCTCTCCTTCCTCCAAAGCACAGTTCCTACCTTAATGGTCATTGAAATACTTTGGTTTTTGTGTTTAGGATAATGGTGGCCTCAAAATGAATTGGGTGATGTTCCCTCTTCCTGTTTTCTGAGAGAGAGTCTTTATGATTGGTATTGTTTTTTCTTTCAGCTTAGATAGAATTCACCAGTGAAACTCTTTGGACCTGGGAAGATTTTGGCAAGATTTTTAATTATGAACTTGATGTCTTTAATAGATACAGGGCTATTAAAGATAGTTGTTGTTGTTGTTAAGTGCCGTCGAGTCAAACCTGACTCATAGTGACCCCTCCTTGGGTTTCTGAGGCAGTATCACTACGGAAGTAGGATTGCCCAACCTTCCTTCCGAGGAGTGGCTGGTGGGTTTGAACCGCCAGCCGTCTAGTTAGCAGGCAAGTGTCTTAGCCACTATGCTACCAGAGCTCCATTAAAGATAGATGTTTTAAAAAAACAAACTCACTCCAATAGAGCTATTTTATTCTTGTTTCTATTTTGGTAATTTGTGTCTTTGAAGAATTTGTTCATTTCATCTAAGTTACTGATTTTATTGGCATAATGTTCATAATATTTTCTTAATATTTTTGATGTCTATAGGATCTTAATGATAGGATCTCTTACATTCCCGATACTGGTAATTTAAATCTTTTTGTTTGCGATCAGTCTAACTCAGTGGTTCTCGAGTGGGGACAGTTTTGTCCCCCCACAGACATTTGGCAATGTCTGAGAACATTTTTGGTTTTTACAACTGGAGCAGAGTGTGTGTGTGTATGGGTGCATGTGCCTTGAATGCTGCTAAACATCTTACACTGCACAAGACTGCTCCTAACAACAAAGTATTATCTGGCTCACAGTGTCAGTAGTGCCAAGGTTGAAAATCTACTCTGGAGTTTACAGTATATACCTTAAACTTTCAAGTAATGTTTTACTAGGAGACTGTGTCCATTTAACCCTTTCCATCTTTTATGCTATTGGGGGTGTTAGGTGTTGAATACCTAGGAGAACAAGACCAGGGTGAATTGTTAGAAAATAAGTTTTATTAAACATCCCTCCGGCAGATGGGCTGAGGCTTAGAGTAGCGTCAGCCCTGATCTTGTCTCCGCAGGGTGCTTAAGTAGTGTTTTCATTCAGGAGGTCTTTTGCCTATTTCAAAAGGACCAATCCTAAATGTTGAAGGGGAACTAAACACAAGGGAGGGTGGGGACAAAAGATCCAAGCAGAAACGGAGAGTGGGGGTGGGGGCTGCTTCATGGTGGGAAAAAGTAGACAAAGGACTCTACTGGAAACTAGGGGGTTTGGAGGCGGGGGCACCTGAAGAGTGGAAAAGAACACAGAGAGTCTAAGCAGAAATTAGGGGGTGGAGACTAGAAAACTACTGGGAGAGACAGAAACTTAGTACGTTCTGGCAGGCTGAGTAGAAGGTGGAGGATTTATCTATCAATGGGCATACATTTTGCTACTCTGTATGTTATAAAATCCACAATACATTGTTACTGCTTTTGCTTACTAATTTAGTAAAGAAATTTAACAATGAGAAAAATACCTTTAATAGTTACTCATATATTTTCAGTACTCTTCATTTTTTGGGGGGAGGGGTAAATCTAAGTTTCCATCCAGTGTCATTTTCCTTCCATATAACAACTGTTTTAACATGTATTGCAGAACAGGTCTGTTAGTGATGTATTCTTTCAGCTTTGTCTGAAAAACTATATTTTGCCTTCATTTTTAAACATTATTTTGACTTGATAGATAATTCTCCATTAACAGTTTTAAAATGTCATTCCATTATTTTCTGATTTGCATGTTGTTGTTGTTGTTGTTTTGTGCCGTGGAGTCGGACCCGATTCATAGTGACCCCTCCTTGGGTTTCCGAGGCAGTATCACTACGGAAGTAGGATTGCCCAACCTTCCTTCCGAGGAGTGGCTGGTGGGTTTGAACCACCGGCCTTCTGGTTAGCAGTCAAGTGCCTTAGGCACTATGCTACCAGATTCTTACAAATGGTAGCTCTAAAACTCACTGCCATTGAGTCAGATCTGACTCATACTGACCCCTCCTTGGGTTTCTGAGGTGATATCACTATGGAAGTTGCTTGCCCAGCCTTCCTTTCAAAGAATGGCTGGTGGGTTTGAACTGCCAGCCTACCGGTTAGCAGTCAAATGCCTTAGGCACTGTGCCAAATGGTAGAGCTATTGTTTATTTTTTGGAGTATTTTTTTGAATTTTGTTATTGAAAAATATAATAAAAATAGAAATTTTAATACCTAAAATTAAAGCATTGCCTTAGATTTTATAAACAAACTTGGTTTTGAAATTTTATTTTTTTCTCTTTTAGTCATGAAAATATATTTTGGGGCAGGTAACTTCTCTGAGCCTCAGTTTCCTCACCTATAAAATCAGGCTACCAGTGATTCTCACAGATTTGCTGTGAAAATTAGAGGAAAAAAATACAAAATACTTGTAGGCACTCATAAACATGATACTAAGGTACATAGGCTTAGTTTCTTCCTCTTTTTGTTATCCATCTTCAGCTGTTCTGACTTTGGGGCTTACATGTGGCAGCAGATCAGTGGCTATCCCCATGCTTAGTCCTCCCAGCCATGTGGTAGCCCCTCTGTGTAGACACACTGCCTGCTCCCCCACCGCACCCCACACACACACTCCTTGAGAGCCACAGCAGCCAGGACTGGGCAATGAGGAGCTTTGGTTGGACTATGGATGGGAACTGTTATCACTACTTAGGGTTCTTCCTCCTATCAGTAGCTTACATCTTAAATAGACTATTGGTAGGGGCAAGATCTTAAGTAAATCTGATCTTTCACTTAAGCAAGGTTAGAAGGGCATTTTTTAAAGGATGCTTTCCATTTTTAAATTATTTGGATATAGTAAAAATCCATGATTTTTTGTATTTTAAATAATTTATAAATTTCACTAATTCAGGATACTTTTCTCACTGTTGTTGTTGTTGTTATGTGCTGTCGAGTCGGCCCCGACTCGTAGCGACCCCTCCTTGGGTTTCCGAGGCAGTATCACTACAGAAGTAGGATTGCCCAACCTTCCTCACTAGTTGGGTTAAAATTATGTTTACTTGCCGCTTCTTAGTTATGCAAAATAGCCAAAGTATTTAAAGTTATACCTTTTCATATCAGTAACACCCTTGATATAGTTAATAGTTTCAGGTGGGGCTCATAATCAGCCATTTCTTCCAACAGATCTAATTTCCTTAAAATATACAGTACTAATAGTCACAGTAAAGGATGCTGTTAATGCAGTACTGTCTTTTTTGTCCCATTAAGAGAAACTAACTGGACATCAAAAAAATTAAACTTATTTTTTGTAGAAAATTGTTCTGCTTGAAGAGTGGAGATATTTTTGACCCTTAGTCAGCCATAGGCAATAGCACACTGACAGCTTTTTTAAGTGTGACCTCATTGTACTGCTGCTCTTTTCCTCAGTGGGCCTTTGGAGTGACACTGTGGGAGCTCATGACACTGGGCCAGACACCGTATGTGGACATTGACCCCTTTGAGATGGCTGCATACCTGAAAGATGGCTACCGAATAGCTCAGCCAATCAACTGTCCAGATGAACTGTGAGTGTTAACAAGTTGAAGACCTGGCTTTCATTCCATCTATTATATTGGGGAAAAAGAAGAAGAGCAGGTTTTAATATTAATACACAGTCTTCCCTTTTGAGAATAATCATTCTTTGGACATGAATTAGATTCTTGTAGAGAAGTAATTAACTATGAATTCAAGTAGGGTCATTCATTCTTTCATGTATGTGGCAGAACTTCCTGCATTTTAAGGAAGGTTGGGCAATCCTACTTCCGTAGTGATACTGCCTCGGAAACCCAAGGAGGGGTCGCTATGAGTCGGGGCCGACTCGACGGCACATAACAACAACAACAACAACAAAGTACTTAGTCTAATCTGAGCAACTAATGTATACAATGAGAAAACTGAAGACAATGTTGTTGTTGTTGTTATGTGCCATTGAGTCAGAACCGACTCATAGCGACCCCTCCTTGGGTTTCCAAGGCAGTATCACTACAGAAGTAGATTGCCCAACCTTCCTTCTGAGGAGAGTGGCTGGTGGGCTTGAACCACCAGCCTTCTGGTTAGCAGTCAAATGCCTTAGACACTATACCACCAGAGCTCCTGAAGACAACGTAGGTTATTTTATATAGAATGAAGACAGGACTTTTAATCATACCATCTTAAGGATATAAATTTTATTATTTTTTTTTTAAAAAAAGCCTTCCTCGTTGTCATCTTGCCTTGCCAGTTGGTGTCAATTGATGTTTAAGGAAGACATTTTGGGTTACTGAGGGAGATAGTTGTTTCCTGCTTTTATCATATGGGTAATCTTCCTATTAATGGGGCTGGGGTGGGCAGGAGACTATTTAGGGACAACTGTATACATGGTGAGTGTGATCTTAGTCCCAGAACCTCCTGAATGTTCCTGCACCAGGGAGAGGTAACAGCTTTTGCACTAATTTTACTGTAGATCCAGGGTTCTTAGAACTTAGAAACAGAAGGCTTTCCACCTTCTTCTAAGTTCTTGCTCTCACAACTTAAATACAGAATAACACAGCTTATTTTTGACTACATGTGTTTTAAGTGTTTGTTGATACGTGTTTTGATAGCGATCTCATGGGGAATTGAAATCCACATATCTAATCCAGATGACTCAATTTTTTTCTTTTCATTCTAGAATTGCCAACAGATAGCAAAATTGATTGAATTTTAATTTCTCACCTGCTACATGCTCACATTTAGACAGAAAAATAACAACAAAATAAAAATCACCAAAAGGTCAGGAGCAATATATCCTTACTAGTCAAATTTTTCTTTTGTCACTCTGCAGATTTGCTGTGATGGCCTGTTGCTGGGCCTTAGATCCGGAGGAGAGGCCCAAGTTCCAGCAGCTGGTGCAGTGTCTCACAGAATTCCATGCAGCCTTGGGAGCCTATGTGTGACACTCCTGTCACAGTCCTACACCATTAGGAGGAACACACCTGTCAGAGGTCATTTGGAGCCAGTCAGGGACACTTCGTATATAATGCAACACCAGTAGAACCACACTTGTCTTCCAAAACACCGTGCCTTAGGAATGCTTTAGAATCTGAACTTTTTAATACAAACTTAATATTGTGGAATATTTTTTAGATATCACTTTTATTAGGTTGAACTGAAAGGTTTTTTATTATTTTTTTGGCCAAAAGATTTTTAAAACATAGTTATTTTGGACTATGGGTACATTCTTACAAAATAAATAAACAGTTTTTAAAATTGTTTAAACACAGATATTTGAAATAGCTAATAGTGCCAACTGCTTTTTATTTTTTTACTTCATCAAAGGTAATCATAGGTGAGTCACCTTTAAAGGTTTTTTTTTTTTTTTTTAAATCACTAGTCCTGGAAATGGCTTGTCTTCAAGATGTAGTACTTTTCTTAGGAAAAGTAACATAAAAAGATCTGGTTTGCCTAATTCAAGAAAAGGCAATATTGGAAGAAGAAAATTTATAGAAAATCTCAAAATTTTTGAATACTTATTAGGAACAGAAACAACTCTTGCATGGAAAGTGGCATATTTTTAGTTTTATTTTTTAATAACATGGAGTTCTGCTTTACTATATTGGGGGAAGCAGGAGCTAGATTTATCACATCTTAAACTGGTCAGAAATTAACTTTTCTATGAGCCATCAGTTGGTTTGGAGCAGGTCATTAGTAAACAGTGGCAATTTTATTTATTCTTACTCTCTGGAAAAGGAGATGATACAGAAAGTGAAATCCTGTTTCCAAGGTTAAGGCTGCCTTTATTGCACCCAAAATAGTGCTATGCACAGAGTGGGTGCTTGAGTTGTTATGGGTAAAAAAACGGAAACTGGTCAATTTTGTGCTTATCTTCTAGGCTGGCTTAAGTATAAAATTTGTTTTTAAAACACTTGAAAAATTAAAGGATTTGTTTTTATATTACAGTATCGAAATACCGTTTATGATGAACAGTTGGTTGTTGTGTGCGGTGAGTCCTTGAATGTGCAAACACTAGGTATTTGTGTCTTATTTCGTGAGTGCTTCAGCTGCACTTCAGAGCCCTGACAGCTGAAGCTGAGTCTGCTCGGCCTCCAGGTTCTAATAGCAAAAACTTGGGGTTATTGATACAAAAATTTACTACAACACTGAAAGTTTTCTCCAGAGCCATTAAATAAAAAGTATGTATATATTTATGCTCAGGTTTAGTTGGCCTCTGGCTGGGCTAAATAGGCCTTCAGAATAGGCCTGCAGGTGTCCATCTCTACTCACGTCCTCATAGGGTGTTCTGGTTACCTAGTGCTGCTCTGAGGAATATATACCATAAATGGGATGGCCTTAACAAGCAGGAGTTTATTCTCTTACACTTCAGGAGGCTAGAAGTCCAAATTCAAAGTGTCAGGCTCTAGGGGCTGGGTGTAAGCCCCTCAGCCTTGGGCTTCAGCTCTGCCTGCAACTTCCAGCCCACTGAAACTAGAGGCTTTTCTTCACTCAGACAGCTGCTGGCTGCTGAGGCTGCCAAGCCCAAGGTTGACAAGTGAAAAAGCACAGTTCCGATGTTATCAGACCACACAGCAGGCCATTCATTCAAGTCCATTAAAAGTCCCAAAGTCGGCAGAGCATGGCAGATTGCTTAACAATGACATGGCTACATGCAGGGTTCAAGCATTCCATAAGCTAGAGACCATTCCCAAAGCTGTTTCTTACATACGGGAAACAGGCCACATATCCAAAGGCAGCTACTCAGCTGCTCACGGTAGATCCCACCATGGAGTTGATTGCCAGTGTCATCATGGGAAATACTGCATCCAACTGCCCAGCCACTCAACCAGGCCCAGCCAAGTTGACACACAAACATAACTACCACACAGGGGTAATAAAGGAGTATACATGGCAGATGGAAAATTTCTCTGTTTTTTAAAAAAGCTTTCTAGGTCGGCAGTTCCATCTCGTACATGCACTACCTCAAGTAGGCCAAGAGCATGAGTTTTATGTGTACCATTGGTTATTAACACTCACTCCTCAAATTATGAACTACTAAACTTTCAGAATGCCTGGATGAGAAAACACCACACACACACATTTTGAACAGTTTATAAGTTACAGCTATTCTTTTCATGTTTTGCTTTCTTAGAAGGCATTCAGTCAGATTTATTTATCACTTATTATGTATTAGGCACATGGCATGATCCAGCTCTAGCATCCCGTCCAACATTCAGTGAATTCTTTTTCGTGTTCTAGTGACTGCATTATTGAGAAATTACAGTGCCATGTGCAGGATTAGTTAAAAAGAAAAAGTACTGATTTCTGATTTCTGTCCCAAATTGGGATTGCTCAGAAGGTGTGGTAAGTCTAACGTTATCTCTTTATGTTCCTAAGCTCTTTCCTTTTGTATATACATATTTGACTTAGTAGATGGCTTAAGAATTTAAATAGATTTTTTTGGGGGGGTAGAGGGAAGGTATTGGGAGTCAGTGACACAGAAAGGAAACAACAGTTACAAGATTTCTATAGCTGGTCTCCTGGCAGTTTTGTCATAAATTTTACTGAGCAGGTTTTGCAATAATAATGATGATGACGATGATGAGAAAGAAGCAAATTGCAAAGTACTGACATGATATCATAGCTAGCTCTAGTGATCTAGAGCTCCATTATATTCTTTCTTTTCTTTTAACACCCCTGTTGTAAGGGAATTTTATTTTTAGAAGCAAGGAAGATTGGGTTATTCATATAACATGTATTTTTGAGGGCTTACTGTATGCTTGGCTCTCAGAAAATGCAGTGACCAAGACAGAGTAGGGGCCTCTTTTTCTGGGTCTTAAATTCTATTCTTGATTGAAAACATAGAATACCAGAAAGATGTTTACTTGTATTTTATTGACTATGCATAAGCATTGGATTGTGTGGATCATAACAAATTATGGATAACATTGAGAAGAGTGAGAATTCCAGAACACTTGATTATGCTCATCAGGAACCTGTACATAGACTAAGAGGCTGTCATTTGAACAGAACAAAGTGATACTGCATGGTTTAAAGTCAGAAAGGGAGTGCCTCAGGGTTGTATCCTTTTATCATATTCATTCAATCTGTATGCAGAACAAATAATCCAAGAAGCTGAATTATATGAAGAAGACCACAGCATCAGGTTTGGAGGAAGGCTCATTAAAAACCTGTGATACACAGATGACACAACTTTGCTCGCAGAAAGTGAAAATGACTTGAAGCACTTACTGATGAAGATTAAAGACTACAGTCTGCAGTATGGATTACATCTCCACATAAAGTGAAAATCCTCACAACTGGACCATTAAGCAGCATCATAATAAATAGGGAAAAGATTAAAGTTGTTAAAGATTTCATATTACTTGGTTCCACAGTCAACACCAATGGAAGCAGTAGTCAGGACATCAGACAACATACTGTACTGGGAAAATGTCTTGCAAAAGACCTCTTTCAAGTGCTGATGAGCAAAGATGTCTCCTTGAAGACTAAGGTGCACCTAACCCAAGCCATGGTATTTTTAATCACCTCATATGCGTGTGAGAGCTAGGCAATGAACAAGGAAGACAAAAGTAGAGTTGCTACTTTTGAGTTGAGACGTTGGTAAAGAATACTGAAAGTGCCATGGACTGCTAAAAGAACTAACAAATCTATCCTGGAAGAAGTGCAGCCAGAGTGCTCTTTGGAAATGAGAATGGCCAGGCTTTGATCTACTTTGGTCATGCTGTCAGTAGAAACATTCCCTGGAGAAGGATATCATGCTTGGTAAAGTGGAGGGTCAATGAAGAAGGGGGAGACCCTCAACAAGATGGATTGACAAGGTGGCTGCAATGATGGGCTCAGGTGTGGCAAGGATTGTGAGGCTGGCACAGGACTGGGCAGTGTTTTGTTCTGTTGTACATAGGGTTGCTGTGAGTTGGAGCTAATTTCAGTGGCACCTAACAACAACAACAAATTCTAGTTAGGAGAGACAGTAATTAACATGAATAAGGTTTTGGTAAGGGTTATGATAAATACCTTTAGATACCATGTCTAGTGAGGCTTTTCTGAGCAGGTGGTATTTGAACTGAGATCTGAACGACAATAAGACAGCCAGGAGAAGATCCAGGCAAAGGGAGGTATAACTGTAAAAGCTTTAAAGCAGGGAGAAGAGAAAGGAGGCCAGAGTATAGTTAGGGAAGAGAGTAGTACCAGATGAGGTCAGGGAGACCCAGGAACCAGACACGCAGGCCTTGTAAGCCATGGGAAACATTTCTGTTTTATTCTAAATACAATGGAAATCCATTCAAGATTTTTCAAATAAGGGAGCAACATGATTTAATTTGTCATTTTAAAAAGATTGTATCAACTTTATGAAGAATATAGAGATGCAAGGGGGGAAGTAATGAAACCTTAAAGAAGCTGTTGGAGTAGTTCATGAAAGAAAAGATTAAGAGTACCAGTATGGGCAGGACAGTAAAAATGGAGAGAAAGGGCAGATTGAAGAGTTATTTCTGAAGGTAACAGATGGTACCTATCGGAAGTTGGGGATTAGGGTGGCAAAGAAAAGGAAGTGATCAAGAAAAACTAGTTAGTTTGAGCATCTGGTTGTGTGGCTAAACTAAATACTGAGATGGGAAAAACTAGAAGGGTAATTAGATTTAGCTCTGGCAGGGGGAATCAGTAACTTGATCTATGCTGTGTTTGAGATGCCAATCAGTCATCTAAGTGGAGATTACTAATAGATAGATGTCAGTCTGGAGCTCAGGGAAGAGGTCTCAGCTGAGCATATAAATGTTCATGTGTAACATATAGAAGACATGTACAGCCATGGTACTGTATGACCTCAGAGTGTAGATGGAGAAGTGGTGCTAGGACCAAATCATGAGCACGCCAACATTTAGTGGTCTAGTGGAAGAAGAAGAGCTAACAACAAAAAAATAAAACACTGAGAAGAAGCTACTTTAGTAGGAAAAACCAATAACAAAATCAGGAAAACCATGTGTTGCAGAAGCCCAGTGAGGGAAGTTTTTAAAATGGAGAGAAAAGCCTTCATGGGATTTGGTGATATGTAGATTACTAACAAAAGGAGCTCTGATGACAAAGCGCCGAAGGTATTTGACTGCTACCCAGAAGGTTGGCAGTTCAAACCTATTAGCCACTCTGTGGAAGGAATATGGGGCAATCTACTTTTGTAAAGATTTACCATCTTAGAAGCCCACTGAGGGTCACTATGAGAATCTACTCAATGCAGTGGGTTTGGTTTTTGTTTTTGAGATTACTAACAGGAGCAGTAGGAGCTCTGGTAGCATAGTGCCTAAGGCACTTGACTGCTAACTAGAGGCTGGTGGTTCAAACCCACCAGCCACTCCTCAGAAGGAAGGTTGGGCAATCTACTTCCATAGTGATACTGCCTTGGAAACCCAAGGAGGGGTTGCTATGAGTCGGGTCTGACTTGAGGGCACATAACAACAACAACAAACAGGAGGAGTGGGGGACTGAAGCAAGTTGAAGCACGAATGACAGGTGGAGACCTTGCTGTAGTCAGTGCTATTGAAGAGTTTTGCTTTGAAGGGAAATAAAATTGTAACTGTTGTTGTTGTTATGTGCCGTCGAGTCTGCCCTGACTCATAGTGACCCCTCCTTGGGTTTCCGAGGCAGTATTACTACAGAAGTAGATTGCCCAACCTTCCTTCCGAGGAGTGGCTGGTGGGTTTGAACCATCAGCCTTCTGTTTAGCAGTCAAGTGCCTTAGGCACTATGCTACCAGAGCTCCTAAAGTTGTAACTAGAGGAGCTCAAAGAATTTCTTTGGGGACTTGGGGACACAGAGAGAGGGCTGTGTTTGTTTTTCACATGGAAGCTACAGTACCAGGAAATGTCTCTCAGACTATTGGGGATGATCTAGTAGAGAGAGAGAAAAATTCTTTAGGGTATGGGACAATTCTTTCTCACTTTGGCCC